CCCCAAAACCCCAAAACCCCAAAACCCCATGATGATAAGATAAGTCTAAAATAAAGAATAATTTATAAGTTAGAAATGTGGAAAGCAAATTATTAAAAGGGAGACAATGAATATCATTAGTAATAGTCTCTGCAGCAGGTGAAATCGATGTCTAGTTCAAATATAAAATTGAACGAACTATACTCACCTTAAATGTCCATTAGAAATACTCCATCTCTAAATTGATAAAGCTCCCTGTAATAGTTATTATTGTTATTCATATTTTAGTTAGAGAAGAGACTCTATCAGAAGTTCCTTCATGTAATCTTAAAAAGAACCAATAATTGAGGAGTATAAAAGGACTTTTCCAATCAAGAAATAGAAAAAGATGTGTACAATTATGTCAGGTGTTAAAAGACTGGTAGTCGCGGATTCTACTGAAATTTTGAATCGTTTGAAATTCGATATGACAAAACAACCAGATTTATTATTGAAGTCACCTCCTTCAATTAATACTTTGCTCACACAAAAGATGAATTTATAGCTCTTTAAGTCTTCGAACCAGAGGACATTCCAGGGCAGAAACTCAATTAGAAAATCAATAAGATTTCCAGATTAGATGTTAAGTATCAGATAAAAGTTACTTAAAGAAGAGTTTGATGAAGCAAAAAACAAAAATTAAAAGCAAATTCCTAAGCTCACTGATATGAAAACTTTAGTATCTCCTTAAAACCCATAGCGAAGATTATAGTCAGCAAAACTATCTGTTGACAAAAATAGACTTCTAAGATCTCAGACAACTAATTTCTTAATTCAGTTTACTCCATTCGATCATGTAATTAAATAGCCCAGACCTGAACCCCCTGGAAATGAAGAATACAAAATATATGAGAAAATGGTGAATAAGATGTTTATCTAAACCTAAAATAGTATTGAGCCAATAAAAGTTGTCCTAGCTACAACGAAAGAGAAACCCCTAGATGACATATAAGATTATCCGCTTGACTTAGGGAATTAATATCAAATTTAAGACAGAGACCTAAATAAACCATTTCAATAGACTACTCGAATAGTTAATAGAGTCAGAGGCAAATTTGAAAAGTAGCTAATAAAAGAGAAGACCAGACATAGACTATTATTCAATATAAAATGTGATGATCTAGATGTAGACTAAGGACAGAAAAGTGAGAGATAACTAAGAAAAGATAGATTTGCAAAGGCTTTAAAAGCTACGATAAAAGACATGAAGAAATATAATATCGAGTGTGGAGATAATATTTGTGGAATGCTTCCGAAAGTTCCTTATGAAAAACCAGAGACTGAGAGATTTTTAAAAGCTGTTAAATTAGATAAAATTCATACTGTCTGGCAGATGCTTTAAGACGATAAATTTCTAGTCCATTAGTTTGATCATGTAAGTTCAATTATGCTTATAAATTTATATAATAGCTGCATCAGTATGGATTACACTTCGCAGCCAAAAGAAATAACCCTGAAATGATAAAACTTTTGCTATTTAATAAGTCAGATGTAAATGCTAAGGACATAAATGGAAGAACTCCTTTGTTCTATGCTTGCATGATGAATCATGTTAGGGCTACATCAGTTTTACTATCTAATATGGGTAATGCTTTCTCGATGGATAGAGAAGGCACTAAACTTGATGAGGTGACATCAAATTCAGAGATTTTGAAAATGATATCGAAAGGAAAAAGTGTAAGAGATATATTCAATCCCTAAATAAATAATTTAGTTTTAAGTAATCATGAAATTTGTACCACATGGAAAGAGACTCGATAAATTAAGAGAAATGGGAGTGGAAAACTTTAATAAGGAGAATATTCATGTTTAAAAATTCAAAGGAGATTTCTAGAAGTATTGAAAATTAGTTTGGAATGTTGATATAAGACTAAATATGTTTATATTAAAGTTTGATTCTTAATTATTAAGTGTAGAGTATAATTATTAGAAGTTGATAAATAAAAAGTATTGATTGTTTAATTTGTAAGGTTATTAAAAGCGTCAAATTAATTTGTATATTATAATAAGCGAAAGAAAAGATGAGAGATAAGTGGGCCAAGAAGCGCATGCGAAGAAGACAAAGAAAGAGAAGAAAGATGAGAGGTTGAGCAACTGTTGTGTTTACGAACCCATTCGTCCAAGATTTAAGCACATTCTATATGCTTAATTACTTAAAATATAAATACATACCTTATTCTTATATATACTACTAAGTCTTGTCTATCACATCTTTTCTCGTTTATCGATCAATCTGTAGAGTCCATGCATCATCTTCGTTTTCGACGTATAAATTTTTCCCTTTTAGCAAAATAGACCGGCCAACTGCTAACATAGGCAGTCAGCTCTCAGGCTATATGTACTTTAGGGTATTAAGCGTGAAATAAGAGCGATAAGTGTGGTTTATGAGAATTTTTCGCAATATCTTTATATTTAGTAGTTATTATTTAATACTCCTTCCTGAACAAGTTTAATCCTCCTGAAAATTTAATTCCACTTTTATATTTAACCCAATCAATCACTTACGGGGTTTTGGGGTTTTGGGGTTTTGGGGTTTTGGGGTTTTGGGG